GTTAAGTTTCCACAGTCAGTGATGATTTGGGCTGCCATGTCATCTGCTGGTGTTGGTCCATTGTGTTTTTTGAAAACCAATGTCACTGAATCCGTTTACCAATAAATTTTGGAGCACTTCATGCTTCCTTCTGCTGACCAGCTTTATGGAGATGCTGATTTCATTTTCCAGCAGGACTTGGCACCTGCCCACACTGCCAAAAGCACCAAAAGCTGGTTCAATGACCATGGTGTTACTGTGCTTGATTGGCCTGCAAACTCACCAGACCTGAACCCCATGGAGAATCTATGGGGTATTGTCAAGAGGAAGATGAGAGACACCAGACCCAACAATGCAGATGACCTGAAGGCTGCTATCAAAGCAACCTGGGCTTCCATTACACCTCAGCAGTGCCACAGGCTGATTGTCTCCATGCCACGCCGCACTGATGCAGTAATTCATGCAAAAGGAGGCCCAACCAAGTATTGAGTACATGTACAGTAAATGAACATACTTTCCAGAAGGCCAACAATTCACTAAAAATTTTTTTTTTAGTGGTCTTATGAAGTATTCTAATTTGTTGAGATAGTGAATTGGTGGGTTTTTGTGAAATGTGAGCCAAAATCATCACCATTAAAAGAACCAAAGACTTAAACTACTTCAGTCTGTGTGCATTGAATTTATTTAATACACGAGTTTCACAATTTGAGTTGAATTACTGAAATAAATGAACTTTTCCACGACATTCTAATTTATTGAGATGCACCTGTACTGTTTACTGCTGACTGTTTAAAAAACGATGCATGTGAAACTATACAGTATGCAATGATGAATTAACAATAACATGCACATTACCTCATTATGTCGCATGTTTACAATCAACATGTGTCCAGTTATCATCTTGCCAATTTATGCAGAAATTGTGTGTTTGAATTAAATTGTGTTGAAACTTCCTACCTTTTGGAAGTTCAATCAAGTAAGCCACTAAGTAGACAGTTGTAGACATTATAATCCTAATAAAAAGATCAAGTCAAGCTTATTACGTTGGTGGGAAACAGTATCTAGCACAGTGTCCCTAATATTATTCACATTTGGTCAAATATAATAGGTTATATTGGTGTTAAGTGCATATAGACAATGTTCATACTGTGCAAAGCATGCATACTGCATTCTTAGTAGGAGTAGTGTGGTAGTATTATGCCATTCCCAACATACAAATGAATTGCTGACTCTTAAAAATGAAGATACTGATTCACAGCCAGTGAATCTGTCAGTAGGACACTTGACCTGACTGGCCTTCTGTTATAACCACAGCACCTCAACCTCTTCCTGCAGGTTTGACGATATGCCTCTGAGAAGCAGGCGGTATCTGTCTCAATCCACAGACTCCCTCCACAAACCCAACAAGGTTACAGCGTCCAATGAGTCTCTAGATGAAGGTAAGCAGCCATATTTCTCACAAGCTTCAAAGAGCTTTCAAACAAATGAACAAGTAATTAATTGTTTAGTGCATGTATGTGGTGCTCGTCTGGGAGACCTGTTTTTGAATCTGGCCTGTGTTTTGTCATTTTCTTCTTATGTCCTGTCATTCCTCACTTTCGCTATCAGTGAAAAGGCTTTTTAAAGTTTAAAGTGGTGTAAATGTTCCCGTTAATTTTTCTAGTAATGCTTGAGTAAACATTTTCTTTGTCGCTAAAGGAACTGAGATGGTTGACAGCCGGCTGATGGGAGACTTTGAAACAGATGTTAAGGAACTGGAGGCTGACTCCTGGAGCCTTACTGTAGATAAGAAATATCTGAAGCAACTCAAGAAGGATGTCATCAAGAGACAAGACGTCATCTATGGTAGGACTATGCTAGAATTGAATGCATTTCCATTAGTTTATGTTCAAAAGCATTTGCTGTTTTGTGAGTTTTTATTCACAAGCTCTGACTAAATGAATGCAGAATGTGTCTAGGGTAAAGTGTCTGCTAAACAAGGTTATTATAGTTAACTACAACTAAAAACTAAAACAGAAAAATATAATATATATATAATAAAATAGTTTGTATACTACTTTATTGCAGCTAGCAACATTTCTCATTTTCATTTAGTTTAACTTGATGTACTAAAATAAAAATGAAAAAAGCTAATAAAATTAAACAATGTATTTATTATTTATTTATATTAATATAAAATAAAAACCTATTCTAGGGCTGGACGATATGGCCAAAATTTATATCACGATATATTTCATAATTTCGGTCTATACGATATAATTCCGATATTGATGTGAACACTATTAAAAAAGCCTCATAAAAACGGCCAAGAACGGCCACAACAGATGTCTGTACCTACAAACTTATGACAAATTTATTAGCCAACTCTATGAAACCTACTCCTATAAAACTATATAATATTTTAGGAAAAAAAATGGCGCAAATAAATAAATGTTCACCTTTTATTGGTATTTAGCCTTCATACAAACAAGAAATGTGAAATCACTGTCAAATAAATCTCAGACTCTCCTTATTAATATTAATATTTTTTACTTCAAACTATAGGCTAACATACCTGTCAAAAGTTTTTGAACAGTAAGATTTTTAATGTTTTTTAAAGAATTCTCTTCTGCTCACCAAGCCTGCATTTATTTGATCCAAAGTACAGCAAAAACGGTAACATTTTGAAATATATTTACTATTTAAAATAACTGCTTTCTATTTGAAAATATAATTTATTCCTGTGATTTCAAAGCAGAGCTTTAGCATCATTACACGTCACATGATCCTTCAGAAATCATTCTAATATTCTGATCTGCTGCTCAAAAATCATTTATTATTATGATGTTGAAAACAGCGGAGTAGATTTTTTAAGTTTCTTTGATGCATAGAACGTTCAGAAGAACAGTATTTATCTGAAATAGAAATCTTTTGTAACATTATAAATGTCTTTATCATCACTTTTGATCAATTTAAAACATCCTTGCTAAATGAAAGTAATAATTTCTATAATATAAATTTTAAAAAGAGCTTTTGAATGGTAAAGTGTACAAAACCTTTTTATTTCAGATAAATGCTGACCTTTGGATCTTTCTACTCATCAAAGAATCCTGAAAAAATATGTTACTGCTTTTGGTGCATTTAGGATCAAATAAATGCAGGCTTGGTGAGCAGAAGAGAATTCTTTAAGAAACATTAAAAATCTTGCAGTTCAAAAACCTTTGACTGGTAGTGTAGACGGATTATTCTTATAGATTGAAACGTGCATTAACCAGGATAACGAGTATGAGTTGCTTCAGAAAACAAAAAAATAGAGCAACAACAAAAGCATGTTGCTGGAAATGGGTTTATTATTGAAAATGCGAACTGCTTGTCTGCCAGCAGGAGGCGCTGTGAGAGCGGTGGAGCTAGCGGTTTCTCCAGTAACTGCTGTAATCAAAGCAGCTCCGCTCATGAACGCTACTTTATCAGATAAACTTTTCTGAAGACAGTCGGTTCCCTTCAGAGATACATTCATATAAAACACCCGCGAAGTGTTTTGATTTTGAAACGTGCAGTGCTCATGTTTATTCATCGAAGTCAAACGCCACAAATAAAACAATGTATGGGAAACACTGGTAATGTATATCGGAAATGTGTTTAAAAATCATATCACCGTTATTGAAAAAAATTATATCGCGATACATATTGATATTGAATTATTGTCCAGCCCTAACCTATTCAACACAAATATTTTTTTTATAAAAATAAAAGCGAATTAAAATAAAAATATAATAGTATTTCAATGATACTAAAATAACACTGCTGCTAATTTTTTTTTATAGATTTTTTTTTTGGTTGTGAAAGTGTTGACATTTACATGATAAACATGCATCCAACTTTTACATGGAAATCTCAAAGAGTTTACATCTTCATTCACGGACTCGGAAGCAATAAGTATGCTAAATGTTGCTTTTCCAGATATCTGGATCTAAACATCCTCTTCCTTTATCAATCCAGAGCTGATCCAGACGGAGATGCATCACCTGCGGACGTTACGGATCATGTCTGATGTGTACAGTAAGGGCCTGCTGACAGATCTCCAGCTGGAGGGCCAGATGGTGGAGAAGATGTTTCCCATGCTGGAAGATCTCCTGGAGCTCCATTCGTTCTTCTTCAGCGCTCTGCAAGAGAGGAAGAAGGAAGGCAAGCTGGAAGGGACAGATGGATTCATAATCAACAGGATAGGAGATGTGCTGTTCAGCCTGGTGAGGACCTTTGATTATATATATTAATAAGTTTCTGTGTTTCAATTTAAGGACTTTTTTGTTTATTTGTATACAGTATACTGTGTTGGGTTGCCACTTAAATGTAAAACTTAGATTCTGTAGCAAAACCAGTTTTGAAGCACCTCACTATACTACACTGTTATATCGTTCTTAGCTGTGATAATTTGATATACTGTACTCTTCTGCATGACACTGTTATGCTATACTGTTATACTAAATGGTTAGAAATTTTATTTTTAAATTTACTTAAATTTACTTTTTAATATTCAAGTTACTTGCTGTCTTAAAAGTAAAAGTTGTACGATATTTAAATCCTGCAGTCATATGTTCATTGCACTTCAGTTTGCTTACTAATGGAGTTGAAACTCTGAAAACTGGTAGAAATTGAGTAGAAATGATTACTCTATTATTATTATTATTATTATTATTATTATGGCAAGTTTAATGGATGAAAGAAAAAAAATTGTTATAGCAATGTTAGAAAATTATCTTCACAGATTCATTTATTATTTAATAGCATTTCTCAAACTAGAGTTTGTAAATCGATAAAGTAAAAATAATTAAATCTTTAAAAAATGCAATGTAATAATTCTAAATATTATAATAAGTAATTCATACATAATTTTAAAAAAAATTTTTTAAATAAAAATATTTTTTACAGATATTTTACAAATATAGATTTTATAGATTAAATATATTTTTTTTATGTCATTAAATACTATGTCATGTGACCATTAACCAACATCAAAAAACTGTGAATGTGCAAATGTGTTGTTAAATTATTAAAATATTAACTTATTTATCTTAGATGATACTTCAAGTAAATATTTTAGGCCAAAGGGGTTTGGTTGATAAAGTTTGGGAATACATAAGTATAGTAATATTACTAAGTTTGCTATACTACATTACTTGTGGGTGGTAATGTTGCGTTATATTGTGTTAAATTATATCTTATTAGCATAAAAAGGCATTTGGTTCAGTTTGACATGCATACGTCAACTTGAATTATACAGAAGATTCATTGTTCATATCCAAGCTCCTGTTTTGATTTATGCCACATGATGTGCGTCAGTTCTCAGACTCCAATGCAGAAAACATGAAGAAAATCTATGGCAGATTTTGCAGTCAACACAGTGAAGCAGTGAACTTCTACAAGGAGCTGCACGCCAGGGACAAACACTTCCAGGCATTCATCAGGGTAAATGCCTCACTTCATTATGTTCGTGCATTTAGTGGGACGAATGACCAAGATACCTAATGATCTTCAATGTGCTCTTGTTTCCAGAAAAAAATGAGCAGCAGTGTTGTCCGGCGTCTGGGCATCCCAGAGTGCATATTACTGGTGACTCAGCGCATAACAAAGTACCCGGTGCTTTTACAGAGAATCCTGCAGCACACCAAAGGTGAGATTTAGCTGTCAGGGGTTCTAGAGTCTTCTGCTGACCACAAAGTGATTTAGTCTTAAATCTTATTTTTAAAGAAATCAATCAGTCAATTCTTAGCAATAGTGTTTGGGCTAAATGCTTACTCTAGCTAGTGTTTGGGCTAAATGCTTACTCTAGCAGAAAATGTATATTTTGTGGGAGCTCCAATTCATTTTGTGACCTATGTGACGCGGCCTCATTTCCCCTCTCATTCCCAATAATTTTTAATAAATGGACAAAAAAAAAGTAATAATATATATTTTTTATTTTTTTGGAAAGAAAAGACTTTTATTCGGCAAGGATGCATTAAATTGATCAAAATTGACTGTAAAGACATTTATAATGTTACAAAAGATTTCAGATTTAAAAACTGTTCTTTTGAGATTATACAAAATGTTTGTTGAGCACTATATCAGCATATTAGAGTGATTTCTGAAGGATCATAAAAGAATCAAAATGTTGATCACGGGTATAAATTACATTTTAAAATATCTCTGCAGCTGAAGAACGCTGCCGGGCGACTGAAGGGTAAAACTCTCGAATGCTGTCACTGTAAATCTTGATAGACCTCATTTCTTCAACAGTGTATTGAAGAAAACTGTCCACTTCTTACAACTTTTATATGTGGGTGATTCTTCCAGTTCTTAAAAATGAAACGCCTTCAGACTATGCTATCTGTGTTAAAGATCCTATGTGCTGAAATCTGATCATGTGCTCGATTCAGCCTTCAATTGAGATTACTGAGAGTTGGTAAGAATGTGTGATTGTAATGGCATTTTTCACTTTTTGAGGGAAAAGTTGAATAAACCATTCAATTAAAGGGTTAGTTCACCCAAAAATGTAAATTAGGCTGCATTTTAGAGTTAGTGTAAATAGCCTCGGCAACAAGGCATTTGCACTTAGTGTAAATAGACAGCCCCATAAATAAATTAATAATAATTTTGTTTCTTTAATTACTTTTTCCTAAAAAATTATCAGATTTTCTTTTTATTTATAAACATTAAAGGGTTAGTTCACCCAAAAATGAAAATTAAGCTGCGTTTTACTCACCCCCGAGGCATCCTAGGTTTATATGACTTTCTTCTTTCCGACTAATCCAGTCGGAGTTATATAAAATATCCATATTCAAAAGCTACATTAAAGTGATTATTACGTTTTGAATATGGATATTTTTCTTACAAAAAAACGCATTGATTCGCTACAGAAGGCCTTTGTTCACCCCCCGGAGCCGTGTGTGAGACTTTTTATTTTTTATGGATGGGCGATTTTTATTTAAGTTCTTTTGGACTGAAGCAATGCAACACCCTCTTGAGTGGCATTAAACAGCTTGAAAAATCAAAGACAATTTTTAATATAACTCCGACTGGAAAGTCACATACACCTAGGATGCCTAGGTGAGTAAAACGCAGCCTAATTTTCATTTTTGGGTGAACTAACCCTTTAATGTTTATAAATAAAAAGAAAATCTGATCATTTTTTAGGAAAAAGTAATTAAAGAAACACAAAATTATTATTTATTTACGGGGCTTTCTATTTACACTAAGTGCAAATGCCTTGTTGCCGAGGCTACTTACACTAACTCCTCCCACCAAAAAGTTATTGGTGTAGTCAACAATACAAAAGATGACCGTCAAAGCATCTTTTTGACGCGATTGACCCAAGTTTGAATCCACCTTTTGCCGAACTTTTTTTTTTCTCCCTCTTCAAATCTCATATCACATCGGAAGTAGTAGGGTTAGGGTGGGCTTTATTGTCCCAATAAGGTGGCATTCATTTAATAATTTGAATTAAAATGATAATTTACTCTCAATACATTATTATTGCATACTATAATGCACTACTATACTGAGGCGCAGATAATTGGCACTATTTGCAATCAGTAGTATAAATAGCAGAAAATCCCGCTATTTTAACAATGTAAATAGAATCTATAGCTATTTGCGCTTGGTGTAAATAGCATATCGCTAAGAAAAGACTGCGAATTTCACTTCGTGTAAATAGCTAATCGCTATTTACATTTAGCTCAAATAGCCGCTGCCATTTATTTACTTTATCATCACAAGGAACAAAATCACCCATGTAAACCTTTTTTTTAATAAATTTTTTTATCACTAAATCATAAGATTAAAATAAATATCAAAGGTACATAGAAAATATTGCATATTTCCACATAAATAGTATTAATAAATTATGGCTCTGTATTATTTATAACATTAATGGTTCTAAATATAAAAATGTAATATTTTGGAACTTAATGTTTACTGTAACAGCAGCATCATCTTTTTTTATCCTTAGATGTCCACGCACTTTTTTTCGTGTGCCAAGGATAAATCTAAAACTAAATCTATGGTTCATTAACAAGCTGTTTTCTCATTTAAAGCATGAACCTCATTAAACTAAGAAAACTACTAAATTATTTTCTGTGAATTAATAGTCTTTGTAGGCTTAATAGCTTATTTTTTCTACTTCAGTCATCTTGATTTATGGATATTTAGATAATTTACTGGAAGACAAAAATAATACGGATTAAAAAAATTTATATTTTTTGCATTGTTGATTGTTTTAAAATGAGTTATCTTAAAAAGTACAGATTACAAATTATTAAAAAAATTACTAAAATATTTAATTATTAAAAATTGCAAGGCTAGTTGGATGGTATCATTCAGAAAATACCAGGAAATGTATAAAGTGAAATGTTTTGTGTGTGTGTGTGTGTGTGTGTGTGTGTGTGTGTTCACACAGAGAAAAGGATGATGATGAGGGGATCCCGAGTGAAACAGAGGAAGACAGGAAGCTACTTGAAACAAAAACAAAAGAAATGAGAGGTGAACAGCTTTCTTGCTGTTAGTTTAGCTCTTTGCCCTTTCTCATAGTTTGTGAATATATATATATATTATTTTTCCCCCCCTCAAATTATTGCAATTATCCAAAGTAATATACCATATATGTGACCCTGAACCACAAAACCAGTCATAAGGGTCAATTTTTCGAAATTGAGATGTATACATCATCTGAAAGCTGAATAGATAAGCTAGGATTGTTAGGATAGGACAATATTTGGCCGAGATACAACTATTTGAAAAAGGGTGCAGAAAAATCTAAATACTGATAAAATCGCCTTTAAAGTTGTCCAAATGAAGTTCTTAGCAATGCATATTACTAATCAAAAATTAAGTTTTGATATATTTATGGTAGGAAATTTACAAAATATCTTCATGGAACATGATCTTTACTTAATATCCGAATGATTTTTGGCATAAAAGAAAAATCAATAATTTTGACCCATACAATGTAATTTTGGCTGTTGCTACAAATATACCCATGCGACTTAAGACTGCTTTTGTGGTCCAGGGTCACATATTTATTTTAGTATAAATGAATAATTCTAAAAAAAAAGTTATCAAAATTGTTTTTGTTTCATAATGTGTGTGTGTATAGATATGCACTACTACTTTTTTAATGAAGCTAGAAGCATTAAAGCCACAAATAAAATGTAACTGAGGAGTTTGAGGCTTATTTGTGAGTCTTTTTGACATTAAAATGAACTGATTCGGAAGAGTTGTTGCTTATGAATCACTTGAAGTACTGTATATTGCATACAGTCAGCAAAGACAATGCAAGATAATTTTTTTTATCAGTTTTTTATCTTTCTCTTATTTTGTGGTTTTCTCGTCACATTCAAATTAGACTACGAGTTAATTAAACCTGAAGATTAAAAGATAAAAATGCAGATGTTTGAGACCCTAATTATGATAAATCAGCAAATAACAAAACAACCTCCTTTCTTTCTTAGACATGCTCCAGAGGAAAGATGAACAGATCGTATCACTCCTTCTGGAGAAGATGAAGCTTTTCCGTGAAATGTGCGGTTCGTCCGACAACACTGCTTCGGCGGTCAAAATGCTCTTCAGGACCAACAACGAGGACGTCCTCAAGGGGGAACCCATCATGATGGACGCTCTCAGAGAGGGTAAGAAATGCCGCCAGCGTCTTCAGCTGCTCCCCACCTGTTGTCTGGAAGCTGATTGTGTTAGTTATTTGTGTTTAGTGGCAGCTGTGGCAACATCTCATTTCCAGCTCTAATGTTTTTCCAGGACTAGTAACTCACTTAATGTAATGCGATTAGTGACATGCGTGTGTGTGTTTCTGTGGCAGTGGAGATGTTGCAGGCGCTGGTGAACAGCAGTCTGGGAGGAGCGGTGGGACAGCAGGTGGCCTGCGCTCCAGGGAACATGGGACCCGTGTGTCTGCCACGCAGAGCCGAGACCTTCGGAGGGTTTGACAGCCACCAGATGAACATCTGCAAACGTGAGACATTTCATGTACTTAATGTGTCTATTCAGGCAGTATAGCCTGCAAAACAACTTCATGTACCTCATTTACTAAGTTATTTTTTTCTTCGTTTCATTCACAAAACGTTGTAAATCTTCTGTATGTAAAGCACAGTTACTGATTCGATCCTGCTAACAGTCATTGTGTTTGCGTGTGTGTAGATGGTGACAAAGAGGAAGCTGAAGACCTTCGGAGGACAGAATCTGACAGTGTACTGAAGAAGGTAGGAAACCTGTAAGAAATTAGCTTTAGGCCAAGCTAACACAATATTACCAAGTCAGTATTCAAATTTATGTTAGTTATTCTGAACGTATAAATATAAATCCTGAATATTTAAGTTGAGTAGTTTGAGTTGTTGTTTCAGTACATATTCAAATATACCGATGTCAGTCTTGGATATGTCATTGTAAAACTGATTATTTATAATTCTAGTATATTAATGTAATGAATATGGATGTTATAATATTAATAAATTAATATATGTATGTGTGTGTATATACAATACTGTAAACAAAGGTTTGGGGCCAAGATTTGTTTTATTTTGGAAAAAAATTAATACATTTATTCAGCACGCACACATTAACTTCATAAAAAGTGGCAATGAAGACACTGAAGATATTGAAGAATCATTTTTAATTATGTTCTCTTGAAGTTTCTGTTCATCAAAGAATCCTTAAATAATAATTAAATAATATCATATACTGTCATATAAACATATATTATACTGTTTTCAACATTTAAAAAAAATTTTCCTTAGTGCCAAATTGTCATATTAGAATGATTTCTGAAGGATCATGTGACACTGAAGACTGCGCACTAAAAAATGCTGGGTTAAATACAACCCAGTGCTGGGTTAAATAGGGACAAACCCAGCAATTGGGCTGTTTTGACCCAGCCTTCTGGGTAGTAACCCAACCGCTGGGTCAAAACAACCCAATTGCTGGGTTTGTCCCTATTTTACCCTGCACTGGGTTGTATTTAACCAAGCATTTTTTAGAGTGTGGAGTAATGGTGCTGAAAATTCAGCTTCGCATCACGGGAATAAATTACATTGTACAATATATTTCAATAGAAAAGTTTCTTTAAATTATAATAATATTTCATATTGCTGTTATTACTCTATTTTTGATCAAATAAATGCATGTTAAGCATAAGATACTTTCATTTTTTTTTTTTTACCACCCCAAACTTTTGAACAGTAATGTTATACATTTATAAATATAAATATCTCACTGAAGTCTCACTATGTAAGCTGTTGAGTCTGAACAAAGGCATTTTCTGTTTTAATGGATTCATATAAATCACATATATGAAGAACTAATCTAAATATTAATCGGGTGTATTAATTTTAATATCCTCCAACTTTAGTAGGATTGTTGCTTATCTGTTTTTAAGTTGATGCAACTGAAAGCTTGCTGGTTTTAAATTCATTGTTTTACACATTCTGCCACAGTTTTGTTTACACAACATCCAGGTGAAAGGCATGGCGTTAAAAAGTGAATAAATAAATAAATCAATAACATCCAAGGGAAATCGGCACTCTTAAAAAATAGTGTGATTTATTTTTCTTAAATATTCCTTTCTAATGACTGCTGTGCTTCTGTTCGAAATAAAAGTCACACAATGACTATAAACGCTTGTTTTCCCAGTGTATGTCAGCATATATTTATTAAAATATTTTAAAACAACATTAAAACAGTTTATCCCAATAAACGGACCCAAACTGAGTCACACTGTCCCCCAGTGTCATGTAGTGTTTACTACATGTCAGGTTTTGTAGCTAATGGGAGACATTAGGGCAGCGAGTGGAAAATGAATAAGCATGCATTAGGAGCGCCCAGCATCGGCTGACTCTGTAATGTGTGTAATGAGCAGCGGTGTGCTGGGCTCAGGCCTGCGCTCGCTCTGTCTGGTGCTGGGCTGATTAAACACTCCCAGCTGGGCTCAGTAAAGCTGCAGTCTCTGCTTGTCTGCTCCACAGGGAGGAAACGCCAACCTACTGCTCCTGCTGAAGACAAACAGCGAGGTAAGAAGGGAGAGCATGCTTATTTTAGAGTTCAGGGTGTTATCCTTCAGCGCTCCTTGGGGCTGTGGATGACGCTTTTAGCTTGCAGAACTGTGAAAGAATTAAAGTGTACTTGGGTAACATGTAACAGATGATGTAAGACAATTGTGACAACTGTTCTGTAAAACATTTTGAACATGATTCCTTGAATAAGTGTTAGATATTATCACTTTTTGCTTGCTTTTTTGAGATCGAGACAAATGACCATCTTTCTTGATGGCTTGTGTTTCCTGACAGCAGATCCTGACTAGTGTCACTCACCTTCATGACCTCCTCAGCTCACTTCAGGTGTGTATTTCACAGTCGATATTATACTGTATGTGCTAATGTGCCAAACAAGAATTCAAAAATACAGTAAAAAAGATAAAAAAAAAAATATTAAAAAGCAGTAAAAACTGTAATAGTGAAATATTATTATGCTGTATTGTGATGCAAAGCTGAATTTTCAGCATCATTACTCCAGTCTTCAGTGTCACATGATTCTTCAGAAATCATTCTAATATACTGATTTGCTGCTCAATTCTTATTATAATTAATGTTGAAGACGTGTGCTGTATAATATTAAAACAAAGTTCAAAAGAAGAGCATTTATATGAAATTACTTTTTTGTAACATTATAGATCTTTACTGTCACTTTTGATCTTGCGTATAATTTTTTTCAAAAATCGCGCGTGTTGTGAATTAATTAATAAATGACATATATAATGTAACAAATGAATGTAATGTATAGTTAGAACCTTTTTACTTTTTAATGCATTCTCGATATTATAGATATTTATTCTGATCATATTGATAAATCTGAATATGTATTTTCAAATTCTACTATTTCAGCATAATATGCACATGTATTTTTTATATGTATATATGTGTGTACATATATATTAATAAATAGTTATAAATTTTAACATAGTTGTAAGTCCTGAGTATATCTTGTAAATCGGAATATATATTTGTAAATCAAAGTATATAAATTCTAATTCTGAAATACTCAGATTTGTTATGCTTATTTCCAGTTATGGCCCCTATATAGGGTTGACATCCATCCCGTATAATGCAGAATCAAACAGGACAATAATTCAATATTATTGTGTGTGTGTGTGTATATATATATGTGTGTGTGTGTGTGTGTGTGTATGTTAGACCAGTTTATGTGTGTATGTAGGATGTTAGACCAGTTTATGTGTGTATGTCAGGATGTTAGACCAGTTTATGTGTTTATGTAGTATGTTAGACTAGTTTAAGGAGGAGGAGATGCGCAGGAGGAACAAAGAGCTGGAGGAGGCGCAGCAGGGGCTGCAGGGAAGGAAGGAGGACTATCAGAGGGATCTAGAGAGACTGAGGGATGCTCAGAGGAGGCTGGAGAGGGAGAGGGAGCAGCTGCAGAGGGAGGCGGAGAGAGTGGAGCACCTCCGCGAGGTGGAGGTGAGTCTTCAACTGCACATTGAAGAACGTTTTGTGCATTACTTATTACTGTAACTCATTCCCAATATTAATTCACTCAGAAGAGAGAGCCGAAGGCCATCATCTTTCTTTATGCAGTATTTTATTGAGTATTCTTCTCTCTTTGGCATTAAGAGCATTCAGACACATTAGAAATAATTTGAGACAGGCAAATTGATCAAATGACTGTGTAAGACTGAATAAAATGGGATGAATTAAGTAATGTCTAGTTTTAAAAGACGTACAGATGTTTGACTATTGAAATAGCATCTTGTTCACATTTTATTGTGAGAGAAAAACTTGCATGCTAGAAAATATCACAAATTAGGGATGCAGAATACATTGGTACTGTATCAGTTATTGGACAATATTAGAGTTTTTTTTATTTTAGAAACACTGATAATAGCACTGTTATATGTAATCATTAGCACATTTGTTTATGAACATAATGCTTATGTCCAGCAAAGCTGCATTTATTTGATCAAAAACACATTAAAAACAGTACAATTGTGTAATATTACTGCAAATTCAAATATATGTTATCTATTTTAATGTTTTAAAATGTCATTTATTCCTGTGATGCATTCCTGCATTTTCAGCATCATTAATCCAGTCTTCAGAGTCACATGATCCTGCACACATGATTATTTTTTGCTACATGGAAAATAACCGCATTAATTTGAAATGGACATATTTTTGTGAAAATGTGAAAGTCTTTACTGTCACTTTTGATCAATTTATTGGCTTCTTGCTGATTAAAATAATTAATTTATTCTACAAAAAAAAACGTACTGCCCCCGATTGTATATAATATTATTTTAAATTGATTTAGTCAAAATAGTATAGAAATTTAATATTGGCCATTTATATATTTTCTGCCATAACATGAATAATAATAATTATTGGCTTATCAATATCTGCCCAAATGTTTATATTCCGTTACATATACGTTCTTCAAATAATAGTTTTGAATATTAATGTATAATATAATTAATTGCAAGTTCCAAGCATACAGAACATGAATGTGTTTTGCACCTCAACGTAACCTTTTTTTTTTTTTTTTATGTCTTCCACAGGCTCGGCTTCAGCGCACACCCTCCAGCACATCAGAGGACTCCCTGAAGCTCCAGAGCAGCAGCTCCATCGAGCGAGAGATCTTGGAGGGCGAGTTATCGTCCAGCCCCAGGAAGAACTCTCTGTCCAGGATGGACTCCAAACAGAAGGGCCGCAGCCTCTTCTCCCTGGTCGGCAAAACTCAGAGCTTAGAAGGACAACACCAGATCCCCACACGACTGCTTCAGCTGGCTTCATCCAAGGAGAAGAAGGACAAAAAGAAGAAGAAGAGCAAGAGCCAGCCTCCTCAGGATGCAGGTGAACACAGTGAACACACACACGTTAATTCAATAGAGATAATGATAAAGAATTGATTCAATTAGCCTGCAAACCACAACCGCCGTATCCGTTCTGACTGGAATTGGTGGTAAGTTCTCTGTCGCAGAACGTCACATGTTTCCAGAAGGAAGGGGTTTGCTTTTGAAGGTCTGATAGGATTTTTGATCCGAGTCGCGTGTTATGTATCAATCTCAGATGTTTATTACACTGAGAAAGATGTCTGTATTTCCTCCTCAAATCTTGCTGTTTTTTTGTCTCCAGCATCACATCTGCTGCCCCTGACAGAGCCTTCAGTGGACGGGGAGATCTTCTTCTGCTGATTTACCCATCATCCCTTCTGTCCACATCATTCCCTTTCATGGACTCTCTATCAAATCATGTAGGAAGTCACCTAAAGTGCCCTCTTCACATTTTGGCAATCTCTCTACAATATAATACATCTCACAGACACAGAACATGTCCAGGTTGCATTACACCCCAAAATCAAAAGAAAAATTATATTTTGCCTAACCCAAATCAATACTATTCTAGAATTGTTTTTATTTTTTGTGACATTATTTTACTAACACTTTAGCCCCCAAATTTTCATTACCGTAATGTATGAATAGTAGTAATATATTATTTCAATTGTAAAGTATTTATATACTACGGTAAATGTTTTTCTGCTTTTAAATAATGTTTTATTACAGTAGTTTTTGCTGTAATAAAGTTTTCTCCATCACAGTAATGAGAATAACCATTGGGAATAATAATTAGTGATTATTATATAAAAAAAAAACCCTCATGTTGCATTATGGTAATGGCTATATATATATATATATATATATTCCCATTACCATTATGCATCATGATTTTTTTCCCCCAGACAACATATCGCAACATATAAAATCTTATATTTGCACTTGCTTTCAAATGTTTATCAGACAAATCCCATCTTTGAATACTTGTTAAAATGTGCATTGTATATACATTTCAATTACTGCACTCATTTATAAATGAACTGTGCCACCAAAAACTTTCAAAATACAAAACTGGGGATTGTTGCTCCCCCTACTGGCCAACTTTTTTAGGCTGAAAAATCATTTCGGCTTATTGCGCACAAGAACGACTATTTACAATTTAATCACGGTTTTAACATTTAAACGGATGCGGGGAGAGAGGTGGTTTTCCGTTTCCCCCATGCTTTCTACTTTAGCTTCTCGAAGGAGTCCCGTCTTTGAAATGCCACGAGCACTTTAACACCATTCACACGTTACCCTTGCCCCGATAATGACAATCAATTTTTCATTAGCATTCCAAAGATAAAGCCCTAAGGACAGTTTTTGGGGGCCATTGTATAACATAACATATGGCATTTCATGCTAGTTTGAGATTCTCTAATCCTTCTGTGTTGAATTCTTCATGACTTTAGCAGGACGGATGAGCTGTAAATACTGTATGAACTGTAGACACCTGAGGGATATTTAAAGCAACCTGCTGGACAGGTAAAAGAGATTAACATCCACGCAGCATAGTGTACCTCACCTATACATCCACCCTTATGGATCAAATGCACCATATCATATCTAAATATCAATAATAATACAATTAACACCCTGTCTTTGCACTCAAAGTGTCCACTTATTTCATCACGCGTGAATATTCACCTTGCAATCCTACAGGATTTTGTTCAGCTAGACGTTCTGTTGGCTTGATTTTGAGTTATTTATTGTTCAATGAGAATTTAAATTTAAATTTTTTAAAGCAGTACATGCTCTTAAAGTCTCATTTGTGCAGGTTTGCGTTGCAGCTTTCACCTGCGCTGACTTGATTCCGCCTTGAGGGAGCAGTAGAGAAGCGTTTTATAATGGAAGGCTCCTCTGTGGTTTTACATAACCTCTCAGTGATGGCAGAGGAGACACAGTGATGCAGTGCAGGAATTATTATTTCTTCACATGCACAAAGGGAATCATTGGTTCGTCATCTAAGGAAAACGGTGCCTATGGCCTTACAGAACTGTCAGCGACACATGTCCTCAGGAACAAACAAGGAAAACTCAATCCAGGCGGTATACACATTGTTGCCGTCTCTCATGCGTAAATGTAAACTTAAGTTGCTTAGCCTTAAAGAAATGATGGTGTGCACTAAAATATAACCCAGCATTTTCTCAGGAGTATAGGTTTGTTTTATCATCTTTGTTTTGAAAGTAAGGTTTAATTTGTACATTGAGGTACATACGTTTTCTTGCTTAAAAAAGGAAGAATTAATATTATGTAAATATTGTGTAACATGTTTAAATGTAAAATTCTGAAAATGTTGTTTAATTTGTGATTAATTTTGTAAAATGTGTTTTGTCTTTATTTATCAGTCATCCCCTTGTGTAAGAAGACAATATTTCCTCACATTAAAAGCTGTTGCAATTTTTTTTGGCTTGTATTGTTTTCTCTCTCTCTCTCTCTCTCTCTCTCTCTCTCTCTCTCTTGTTTTTATTCTGTCCATTGAACTGCAGGTTATTGTATGTTTCATTCAAATTCACTGGACAAATAGATCAAGGCTACCTTTTCCTTTTAAAAAGATTAAAGCATTTTTAAGAAATTGCCACTGTAGAATCAAGTATAAGCAGAACCTTTGATCTGGCATCTTCATGTAGTCTGCAATATGACTCCACTACAACCTCTAACTGATGGACAGAGATTAGATAGGAGTTGGGTCATTTCTACTTTTCATGTCCCTCATCATCACGTGTCTTAATATACTGGAAAAAATATTAAACTCAATTTCAAAATTCTTAACGGGGTCATATGTTGCTAAAAAGAACATTATTTTGTGTATTTGGTGTAATGAAATGTGTTTATGCGGTTTAAGGTTAAAAAAACACATTATTTTCGACATACTGTACGTGATTGTTTCTCCTCTATGCCCTGCCTTTATACAATGCGTCGATTTTTACAAAGCTCATCGGTCTGAAAAGCGAGGTGTGCGCTGATTGGCCAGCTATCCAGTGCGTTGTGAACTTTTGATTAGCCGAATACCTCAAGCGTGTGATGGAAATGTTACGCCCCTTACCATATTGTGATAATGCCCTGTCAGGCCGGAGCGATGATTCAAAAACATGAAAATCCATTATAAATGAGGCTTTTGGAAGGCCAAACAATGTAGTTTCGCTTTCATAACGAAACACACGGGGGGCCTAGAGTGAGCGGAGGTCGGCGGATTCAACGAAGGAGCGTCCGGCGGGCTAGCGGCAACCACATGTGACGACCCCGGAATGGACTCCGCTTCGTCCACGGTGAAAGCCGATCCACAGCGCAAAGTTGATGCATTTCCTCAGCGACCAGCACGGATCAGCTCTAGGCATGACTAAGCAGATATCGTCCTCTTTTGGAAGGCCAAACAAAGTAGTTTCGCTTTCACAACGAAACACACAGCGCCTTCACAACATGGCAGCGGCGGCGGCAACAATACTACAGCAAGAATAAAAGTTATGCCTTCTTTCTTTTCGTGAACATTTGGGCGGTGTTGTGCAAATCTTCCCACATAGTGATGTAGATATGTGGGGGCGTGTTAGAACGAGCCGTTTTAGGAGGGCGTGGTTGACTCTTAACTTTTATAAAGAATATCTCTTTGGATTTGAGACTTTAGTCTTTGCAACTTTACAGATCGTCTTTATGCACCAAGAGCTTGTAACACTCCAAAGAGAAAGGAAAAATTTAAATCGCATCATATGACCCCTTTAACAGTTTTACAATTAAGAGGACACAGGGATGAATACAAATACAAAAACAGACACAAGGAAAACACTGGGATTTGTTTCAGATATAGTAATATTTAAGCAATATTAAGGTTTTTGTTTTATTTACTCCGGAGGTTTAACGAGAGGTTTAATCTCATTTGTAAGTCACTTTGGATAAAAGCATCTGCTAAATGTAAATGTAATAATCCTGGAAATGAATTAATTTTGGAGGGAAAACAACAGCACAAACATAGGTGAGTATTGGATTTGTTGAGTTCTGTGGCAAGAGCTGCTAACTAGCAGAAGACACTAACCAGTTTTAAATTCCAGTTGCGCAGATGGGGAACGTTGATAACACTGCGTTACAATGTGCCCCGCAAAAATTTAACTATGCTATTCTGTGACATTAGTGATGTAACGCTATTTACTTGAACGAATTTTATAGAGAAACCACAAGAAACAGATGGATAAATACTGACAGTCAATGTTTAATGTTCAGACATTATTATTTCAAGAAATGTATAGCATTTCGACTCGTTTATGTTGGCCATCCCAAGCATGGTTGCAATGTGTTCAACTCCAAAATCAGATTACTTTTAACTCTTCGAAACGCCATTATTTTATTTGGAAAAGTTAATTTTATTTTATTGACAAAATATTTTAGTTTGTCTTGTATATATTTTTTTGTCATTAGATCAGACAACATTTGAAGCATTTTATGGTCATGTTACAAGGTGACCCTCAGTTCCCTTGCTGTCTATGCAGGGTCAGAAAGCTCTCGGATTTCATCAATATCTTAATATGTGTTCCGAAGATGAACGAAGGTCTTAGTTTGGAGTTTGGAACGACATGAGGGTGAATAATTAATGACAGAATTTTCGTTTTTGGGTGAACTATCCCTTTAAGGTAAGTTCATACAAATTTACGAATGAGACACTCGTTTAAAAACCTTCCCTGTCTACTGACATTTGTTATAACATCCGCTTTGAGCATTACAATGCACACGATAACTTTCTTTAACTGTACAATAAGTACATCCACTTCTCCAGCCAATTCAACAGTGATGCTAAAATAGCGCTACCGCGAAACCGGAAGTTCAAAGACAAAACTCTAAAAATGGCAGCTCACTTGTTCCTCTGACGCAAAAGGTCTATACAGTTATTCTTGTTTTGCGAAGAAATTTTACAGAAGAAGTATAATGCTATCTTGTCACTGTTTCATAAGTGTGTTTTGCTAGTGTTATGGAAAAATGACTTGATTTGAGACCTGTATTAAGTGTTTTGGTAGTTTAAGTGCATTTTGGATGTGAAATGTACTGCTGTGCCAAGCTGAATGTTGGAGACTGCGTGAAGAGTTTTGATAAATGACCTTAGTATTGAGAAATGTGTCCTTGCGATTGTAAAAAAAACTGTAATGAAGCAGTTAAGGCTGAAATGATTCCTCGAATACCTCGAATAACTTGAATATAAAAAATCATCGAGGCAAATTATTGTCTTCGAGGCTTCGTTTAGTCCATTTACACATGGAACACCGTGTTTCCCCTCTGACCATTATCACTGACACACAACCCAGACCATAGACTGTATAAAAACTGGGACTAGCCTTTTAAAAAAAAATGCTGAACATATTTAAGACCGTAAATCAATATGGTGGGTAATGTCCCTAAGTTAGCTATGTTTTGTGAAAGACTAAACGCCATTGTGCATAAAAATACCACAGAAAGAAAGTTAGTCAATATCACACGAAGAGTGCCAGTTTTCACCTCTAAAATCAGCATGATTACAAATGTGATTTTATTCAACAGTTCAATAAACAAGAAGGTAATAATATGAGACTTACGTTTTAGACACTATATTGCCTGTTTTTGCTTTATTTTGCCAACAATAAAATTCCAAACACAGCCACAGCGCTCTTTTGCGTCTCT